AAAATATAAAACATATATATATATATATATATATATATTTTTTAAAAGAGATTCAGGAAATGCTGTTAAGCTTCTTGTCCTGTTTTTTGTTTGTTTTATTTTTTTGTCTTTTATAGAACCATGTCTTTGAAGTAGGTGGCTGGGACATTATAATAATTAATTTTGCATCTCTGGTAGCAGATTCACATGCCAGAGTAGTTTGTTCTTTATGTGAAAACCCCTCCTACCTTAGAACACACCACCAAGTATTGAAGAGTGGTTCCCAAGGGAATGGGGCCACACTTAAGTTCTCCCAAGGGGGTGGCAGTGAACTTGATGTCGCCTCTGCATCATTTATCCCGCATATATTTAAAGTTGAACTGCCGAGAAAAATGGAGCATACATTTTGTCAGCCCAAGAATGCTTCTTGCTTTGGGTGGGAATTCCCTTTTTCTGCGTGCATGAGGGCTCCATCCATCACTGCCCTTCCTAGTCCAATTTCATTAACCTGAGCCTGTGTTCATCTTGTGGCAGCTTAATAACCTTTATTTGTGGAATCCCTCAAAGAAAGCCTTGGTTATAAATCCCACGTCACAGAAATGAAGGCATAAATGCCAATCTGTGTCACTGCATAATATTTATTATTTTAATTAAAGAAAATGGATAGTGACATTTATTAGGTCACAAGTTACTTGTTAATGGCAACAAATGACAAAAAAATTACTGATTTTATGAGCAAATCTTGGAATGTTTCTCAATGATTAGTCTGTTACTCTCTCAATGTGAGTCGTGCTAACAATGCATTGGGCAGATTTTTGGAAGCAGGTGCTTGATTTTGGTGAGACATACTTCCTGTATAGGAAAGTCTCAGCTTACTGAGAGGGAGAGTCTGAAGTGTCTGGTGAGGTCAGAGTTGCTTTTCCCCCAAGATCTCTTTAAATATAGGTTGGTTCTCTGAGACAATTGTGTATGTGTGTGTGTGTGTAGGTAAATAGGTCACTGACAAACACAATAGGACAATCATGGTTCCAGGTATCAGGGATGTGTATTAACATTTTGGTCCATATGTGCGGCATCCTCACTGAAGTACCCATTCAGATTGGTAAATAAGTACAGCAGAGTGGTGTATAGTGAGTGGTCCAAAGGCTGGAGACTTGCAGGGTGTTTAAACATAAATTATTTCCTTTAATGCTTATATTACTACCATGAGGAACATACTTTAGTATCATCCATTTATTTATTCATTCTGTCAGCATGGATTATTGGGATTTGTTATTTTATGGAAGAGCCTATGCTGAGAAAACAAACACACAGTTGTTTGGTACCTTGTGCACGGGGCCCCAGCCTGTAAGTGACAGGGCTGGTTATGGAGCCATCGTCCGCGTGACTTCAACACGTGTGCTCTTATCACTATTCCACTCTGCCCTGAAACAGCCGCTTCTAATGATGGGATTTTGACCACCACGGTGAGCTCCGAGGAGCTCACTGCTGCTAAATTAATATTTGTTTGTCAGGTTATCTATAAAGTTCTGTTTCCTGGGGCTTTTACTCCTTTGGTTTGTGCATTTCCTGAGTGAACAGGCTAAAGGACAGTGCTGAAAATTTAAGGCAGGCTGGTTTATTTAACAAAAGGAGTTAGCTTGTTTACAATCATAACTGGTATGGTCTTTATTTCGATGTATATTTTATGTGCATCCTATTGGTGGGACAGTATTAAAATACAAGAGTTATATTGTTTTATTCTTTTAGACCAATGACAGGAATAAGACAGACACAGTCCATACTTAGGAGGGGGCTTAAGGATAAAGCCCCACGAAGGGAGAGAGAGAAGGGAATATTTGTTGAATTCGTATTTTGTGTTAGCCGTTATCCTTGGCATTTTACATGCATTATAGCATTTAATCTTTTAAGATATTATTTTTTTACTTTACACGTGGGGAAATCAAGGCTCAAACTCATTCCACCAAACAACTAAGGGCTATAAGATTGAT